CTATATTCGGTGATTATGCGCTCATAGTTGCTCGCTAACAAGGGTCAGGGCGCGGCTGGTGATCCCGCAACAACACTCGCACCTCGAAGGTGCGATACATGAATGGCGGGATCCGGTTCCGGAGTTGTCTGTTACTGTGGCCTCCAAAGGACACCCACAGGACGCCTGCGCCTATAGAGGGACCATGGGTGGCTTGCGCTACTCCACCCACAGTTGCAACCACATACCACATATCCAATGTAAAGCAGAAGGAATAAGACCGGGAGGCAAGTGGATGCGAGCCACGTTTCCTCAATGGAGCCGGCCCACACTCTTTTAACATGCGCAGCAGCAGCATTCCTGTCCATGTGGAGAATCATGCGTACCAGACGTACACAAGGCTGTAGGTATGCCGTAGTCCGCTCCCCACTGAATGAAGTCACTCTTGGAGCTTAGCACGGCCACGAGGACTGTGTACCCCGTTCCTCCAGCAACGAGTGGCAGTCTCCTAGAGACAGTAATCGAGGTGGAGAGTGTTAAACAGGTAGGCAACTTGTCAACATTCACATCAAGCGCTGTCACACCGGGGATATCAAACAACAAATAATTTGAAGGAAAATAGGCAAAGAACAAGCAGCTGAATAAGAGAACTGAGCAAATCAACGAAAGGGTAATACCTTCTAGCCGGTTTAAGAAGACATAGTTTAAGTCAATGTAGCCCAACTGCGGTGGGGAAGCATGATGTGTGCTACATCAACGTCATATATATATATATATATATATATATATATATATATATATATAGTGGATGACATTGCAAGGACTTTGAGCTTTTCTGTTGGGATAGCACACAAAACTGTCCATGTCATCCACCGTCACCCTTCTGTCCGACTGAATGAGGTCATTGACTGATTCGATCACCTCAGGAGACCTCAATTCTGTAGGCCTCCCAGGCCTCTTTTCATCCTCAACACTGCTCCGTCCTTCTTTAAACAATTTTTCCCACTTGTAGACACTTTTTCGGCTGAAACATGTGGCACCATACACAGTTGACATTCTCCTATGAATTTCAACTGGTTTTCACTCTTCAGCAACCAGAAACTTGATAACTGACCGTTGTTCAATCCTGGGGCATGCTTCCTGATCGGCCATCTTTGTTAATCGCTACAACTCTCAAATGTTTTTCAATCTGTTAAAGAAATTACATCCGTGTGAAAAAGAAGTAAAACAACAAAAATAAAAGAATAAAGGTTCTATCGGTATTAGAAGTCCTTATACCGAAAAATTCACCTTATTTATTGAATGACCCTCGTGTATATATATATATATATATATATATATATATATCAGTCGCGCAAGTAGTGGATGCGGCTATCGAGAAAAGTATGGGAATTCAATGATTCCGGTCGCGAACCATGTCTTCAAGCGTGTTAAGACACAGATAGCCCTTATCATTGGGTCCCCGTCCAAAGGCGGTCAAATGTGACGTCAGCGATTTCTTGTGCTGTTGCCATGCGGGTGCCTCCAGCCTGGTCCCGAACGAACGAACAGAGTGCGGCACGGCAAACGCGCAGGTGCAGTGCGTAGGACCTGATCGAGCAACCTTAACTGGTAAAAAAACGAGCGTGTTGAAAGGAATACTCTCATTTTCCATGACACAAGTCCATGGTTATCGCTGTGTACTGAGTGTTGAGGACATGAAGCGTGTGTCAAATGATGGGAGCACTCTAGAGGTTATCCAAGGTTGACTGGGCCACCAAAACATCACTTTAAAAAAGACAATATCGTATGGGATTCTATCAGACAGCACCTAAAAACCTGCATGGTGAGATTCCGCCACACGATGGCGTCCATGACGAAATTGAAGAAACAGGGAAAATTGGGCAACACTGACGAACGACACTTGTTTCCAGGAAAACATCCGATAAGACCGCGTAGACCCTGATGCGAAGCGTGGCGCTCGGGTACGTAAAAGGTTACCAAATTTTGTGAGAACACTTTTCCGCGCAAGAACTCGAACAAAATGAATCGATCGATCGAGTCAAGTGCACTCCTGAGATCGAAGGACACAGCTATTGCCGTTCTGCGGTACGTGTAGTGCCTCTTTATTATCCGCCACAGAATAAATATATAGCCTACACAGCCTCGCCATAGGTGAAAACATGTTTGCTCTTCCTTGAACCGAGATTCCCGTTCTGCAGTGAGGCGACGAACGAGAGTTGAGGCCAGTAATTCTGTCACCACTGGGATTAGGCTAATACCTCTGTGGTTAGTGGTCGGTGGGACAACTCTTCTTGTACACGGCCACTATGACCGACTCACTCCAATTAGCTGGAAAGGTCCCTTCCTTTCAGATCTGTCCGAACAAGTAGGTCAGTGCATTGCAGAGGATTTCACCAGCATTCTTAATTAGTGCGGGGTTCAAGGGAATCCGGGCCAGTAGCTTGAAAATGATTGTGGACTGTGATCACGTTTCGGATCTCAGCCTCCAATAGAGCCACTAAATTAACTGGCCACGGTCAGCCTGCATTATTTAGGGGTATGTGATCAACCGAACTGCTTTCGTAGGTGCTCCGTCTAACGAGCCAAACGGTGCCCCATATTGTTTCTCAGAGCATCCGTGTTGTCGCTCACTGTCTCATTGACACCTAGTCTCCTTGGACCAGTGGTGCGGATAAGCAAAAAGAGCTCGAGATAATTGCTTATTGCTCCCGCGTTCTCTATTTCTTGAACCCTACTGTACACCAGACATTGTTGTCCGCACAAAGGCTCCGCTTTAGTTCGTGCCCAATAGTCTGCGCAGAGGCAGCCTGGAGTTTTCTTCTGGATTGCATAAGGTTTTCCGACCTCTCAAATATTCAGTGACTGGAGCGGCGAGGAATGACAGCGTTCCGAGCAGAGGTACTCGCATCGTGCATGGCGACCGAGATTCTATTTCCCTGAAGCTCAGCGTCATTAGGGCGAGGGAGCGAAAGTTCGGTACGCAGGTATACTGGTAAGCTTGCCTGAACGAGAAGTGTGGTAACTGCTCAGTTGTCAATCGCGGGAGGCGCTTGGTACGCCTCACGATAAAGTTCATGGTCATGTGCAACGGATGCCCACTTGACGGATATCGGTACGCTCGCTAGATGTGAGTGCCCAGCGCCAGTGGAAAAATGGACGCGGAGAACAAAAGATAATCCATCAGTAGGAGTGGTAATGAGAACAGTGGATAGCCGGATCCGGGCTGCTCCGTTTGGCGTGCACGGGAATCGCAGGCCCAACGGTGGACTCAAAAGTGAAGTGATGGAAGATAATGTTATCCTCACTTGATCAAACAACGGAGCAAGGAGAGAATGATAGGTGCTGAAACAATCGCTGACATGTATGCATAGTGGTGTACATATAGATGTAGACTTGTAACCTAGATAGATGAAGATTGACACACAGGTGGGTGTAGAATCAACTTGTGGTGCCTGAGCAATCGGTTCCTGATCAGGTTGGCAGACAAGAAATGGGCGGATGCGGCTAAGAAAGCCCCACAGCTCACATCCTTGCGAGTTGAGAGGGCATGACAACTAGAAAAGAGGTCTGTGGTACGGTTTTATAAAAGTAATCAATAGAACGAGGCCTGCGTTCGGACTGCATTCAATACCGCTCAAGCGGTCGCTTTGTTGAAAACCAAGGGAAGTTGATAGCCATAGGAAAATCTCCGCGATGACGTGATTAGTATATAACATCCGTGGTGGATTTCCCTATTAAATGATATGCAACCAGAGTCTGCCTATGTATTCGCACTAAGATTCTGACTCAGGCGTGAAAGCCTAACTCTCTTTTATGCAGCCTTATCACCAACCCAGCGCTATGTGAATGTAGACGAAAGAATATTATTACTTGCAGTAACGTTTCCAATTCGTTCACTAATGGAAGAATAAGTCGATGGATTAGTGTGAAAGAATCGATGCGTTAGACGATTGTGGAAGGTGAATGGAAGTCGGAAGCATCCAAGGAAGGATATGCTGGCACGCTACGAGTGCTTCAGTAACAGAAACATGGCCAGCAAAAGGAGCTAGAGAAGGACTTAAGAAGATTGAGTTGGAGGACGAAGGAACCCGAGGCGGAAGACTCGAACTCAAGTTGCACCTGACTCTTGGGATCAGGGTGGACGATGATGGGTCTAATCGCGCCCAGAAGGCCAATAAGGTGACCAGAGACAATTCAATGCTCCAAAGAGTACGAAGAGACAGGGAATGTGGATACGAGTGTTGATACAAAAACACTAATTTGTGCTAAGCGACAATGTGGACCCCAGATCTTTGACACATATGATCCGTGGATTGAAGAGATATTTAAGGTGAGGCAAATAAGCTTGTCAGTTTTACCGTTGCGAACGAGATACAACAACATAGCATACCAAGCCGAAGGGACGAGATAACTGGACCTCAAACTCCTCGAGCAGAATAGAGAATGAGACTACGAACTGATGATGTCACCTCGATTGGTGACGAAACGTTGGCAACAAAATTACCAAGCTCAGCGAACAGTTCAACCGTCAGAGAATGAGACTATAAGTGGTTGCGAAGCACGTCTAACAGTGATGATCAAACGAGGGTGGAGGTCATGGGAGTTTGTTGTAACAGCTTCCGCAAACTGTGATGTAACATTGTTGAAACCCGTCCGCAAAATGCCTTCAAGTGAGTTAGAGAATCACGAGATGGTTGTGATCATATGGTCGGGTGGATTATGGGCGCGACAGAACCGTGTGGACAACCAACCCATCATGTGTGTTATACCGAACATTTGCAAAAAAGTTGGGAGGCCATTTCGCGATTCCATTCGCACAGCACAACCAAGTGGGACTTTTGGAAAACCGCAATTCTGGCGACCGAGTTGGATCAGAATCGATGCGAACACAACAGTGGGAGAGACTGTGCTTGGTACAAAGAGCAACTACTCGGAGAGGAACACCACTTGCAGACAGAACAGAGATAGGAACTTAGTGTTACAATGGTTGCGATCAAGCCCAATGAGTTCTCACATACCTCTAGTTCTGTACAACGTTGCTACAGCGCATTGAGTGCAGCACGCAACTCGGACGTTTGTGCCTCGTGCTCCACCTTCACGTTGCCCAATTGTGTCTGCAGGCTAAACACTTCGAGTTCGCGCTGCTCTAACTCCTGTTGGCATTGCTCACGAGCTTGCGAATCTTCCAGCAACACAGAGACGTCCACCTCGTTATCACTGTACGCCTCGATTTGGCGTACAAGACGATCACCAGCATGGTTTTGCAAGCGCTGCGGGGAAGGAGAAAGTACAATTAGTGAACTCATTAGTCATGAGATGCAACAGTATTTTGAAGTTGCCAATTTGTCAGTGAGGATATGACTACTAGTGAGGCAAGTGTACTGAGGCGATGCGGCAATATAAACGGCAGTGACAATGTATGGGAAAGAAGAAACACCTTCCGAAATTGTCATCATGTGGAAGCTCGGGGCTCCGCGACCACTACCAGCAAAAATCAAAGTGGGGCAACAAGATCCGCCTCGTCGTGACATTTAAAGGAAACAAATCCGGAATCAGAATGCAGGCTCACCACTGAGCATGAGCTAAATAATAAAAGATGGGGATGAAGGAGAGAGCATAATTGGTGAATCAACGTAGCTGATTCTACGCAGGGTGCAGAAAAGAATAACCGATGGATACGTGTGGCGTTCGGGTTCAAAGAGAGCAGTATGGCTCAGAAGCAAGTGCATGCCTAACGCGGGCTAAAACAACCCCATGCACCGCCGCCCTTTGGAGCACGGATACAGACTGAACAGCAGACGCAAGACCTATTGAGTGTTACCGGATATCAACATGGATGAAGCTTCTGAAAAGCTGGTCATTTTGAACTTCAGAGCCATATAAGCCAGTACAATTAAGTAATAGACCGGCGAGCGCAAGTAAAAGGTTGGAGCAATGCGAGGATTGTAGTAAGAAAGTCCAGGTGTTAGCTTTAACAATAGCAGTTGTTAAGTCATTTATCGGAAGTGCACCGACGTACTTTCAGGTAAGTGTTCAGTCCCAAGTGTCGAAACTCTTCTTGGAGGAACACGCGAAGCATCACGTCATCGGTGGAGTGGACAACGATGTTGAAGAATTGTATACATGAGACCTGACACAGGCAGTTTCAGAATATATGTGTCAGATGGGAAGTTGAGAATAAAGCTGCTAAGAATCGAGGTGTATATCATACTTGGTGGAAATTGGTCAGCAAAAAAAGAAAGACGTGCCACGTTCTGCTACCTGCGGCCTTCACATTCCGGTTAGCATCACGCGCCGGTAAGGAACTGCACAAATACAAAGTGGCTAAAACTCTGGTGGTGTTTCACTCGATGGGATTAGTTTGAAGCTCTATGAAACAGGTTTCGAATGGGGGAATAAAATCACTTACAGGGAACCAAATAAAAGTGGAAAAATTGGAAAAAACGCTGACATATGAAGATTCAAGGAAGATGAATTGGTAAAAGTAGAAACGTAGTGGCTTCAAATGGGACAACTGCATGATGCTGGGAACTCGACACAAAACGGATCGCGGAGATGGGTGAAGCAACTCCCTGGGCCCAACACATTTAACGCGGGGAGTTCAAGCCAACATGATAGTGGATCAGTTGAGTGTATTGACGAAAACTGCGCAACGTGTCGAGTGAGGCAGAATGGAATCATTAACGTTCTATGGAATACTAAGCCTGCTACCTCGTCTAGGACAAAAATGTCGCACGTAATTGGAGATTATGAGGTGTCATAGCTAGACAGGATGAAACGAACTCTAACTGCTGTTGGATAAAGAGAATGGCCCAACTCCGGTCGGTGTTCAGAACACACATAAGAGTTTTGCTTCTGTAAGTGTTTTTACTGAACCAACCCATTTTAAAAGGAGGTCACTTACAAATATGTCCTCACAGGGGAGGAACATTATTTGCGAAACACTATGATGTTGCAAATTCCTAATTCTGTGAATGCTTGGCTGCATACATGGATAAAACGTACGGGAAATAGAAGCTGATTTGCCCCGATAGGAATCGTACAGGTGTTACTTTCAAACCTTCCATTGTCTTTGAATGCTGGTCAACGTTAGCGAGATAGTGTCGCCCTTCCGGACAACCCGCTGGTAGCAAACGATCAGGTTGTACAAATTAAAAGCTACTACCGCAGTGATGATTAGTCTGATGAGGTCAGGTGACTTACGTCAACGCACCTCATTATTGACGTCGACTAGGAATCGAGTGCACTCTGAAACGTTAAGTTTGCAATAACATTGTCCCAACTGTTAATCTCAATGGATGACTCGGCATATTCACCACCAGTCTACTGATAAAAGTGTCTTTAATTCCACAGTTCTCATGGTAGTACCGGAGTAAGTTAACGACAGGACAATGGAAAAGAGAGGGTTTAGTAATGGATGTCCAAATGGGAAGGAACCGCGTATCTTTGAGCTCAAGCACAGTGCCAGAACATTTGGTGGATTAAGAATATGTTCTGTAAGGCTACCATAACATGCTCCTTTCGCATGTGGTGGCATCGGTTGAAACAAGAATACAGGCAGTTCATTGGGATCATAGGCGATGTTGGAAAGACTGAGTGAGGCGAGTCGTTTACTATTCCCCAATTGGGCATCAAGCGTCACACCAAGACATGCGACTAGAACCTTATAGAACATAGTCGAAGACTGTAGCGAATTGCTCAACAGTGATGAACTGAATCACTTCATTTGAAGACGTTGCAACATTGCCAATTACCCAGCAAGCGAGTGGACGATTAATACCCACGTGCACACATTGTTTTGAGTGGGTTTTATTAGATTTGAAATATAAGGCGATGCGGAGTAGTTGGCCCTGTTAGAGTAGAAGGAAGCAGTCACAACGAAAGGCCGAGTTGGCGCAAACCAATGGCGTGTGGCACATGTACATCAATGACAATGCTGTAAATCAGCATATCCGGACTCATAAAGCTTCATTTAAGTTGATTTGGACAAGTATAAATCGAAAAGGACGAACCTAATGGTATTTAAAAATAACAAAGGGAGTCAAATGTGGCTTGTGCCTTTCACAACTGTTCCACAGGCGTATACATCAAGTGGCAAATAGCCTTCAGCTGCCCGTATCGACGTGTAGCCGATGATCCTAGTTCGTCAAGAAGACTGAGACGGCAGCCGAGATGGTGTTGATGCCAGAGAAATGCAACGAGTTCGAATGAAGTAAATTCGCTCAGAGAATGCAAATAGTTCTCCGCGAAATACATCATAGGAGTAGGCGTGGAAAAGCGCTGAAATAAGACTAATCAAACAAGATGAGGTCAAACGCGGTCTTCGATCCAGCTTGTGTAGAAATGGCTGTAAAGCGAAACGCCGAGAGCACTGGTCACAGCAAGAATAAAGAGGTAAAATGACTACGTTTAAGAAGCAGGGGAGATATGGTAAACAGGAAAAACTCGTCAAAATCAAGCAATGCGATTCTAAATAGCTTGTCAGGAAGTGTGAACAAGCACACAAGACAATCATAAGGTTGGCATACAAGTCACTGATCGTGGGAAAGTGAGGTGAGGCAGCGTACCAAATTCAAAAATGCAGCGTCAAACGGCTAAAAGTGAGGCGTGGGTGCCGTGGATGTTAGGATGAAAAACGCTATCTGAAGACAAAATAGGGTTGGTTACGTAGCCATCCGAGTATAACAACCGTTTTATAAACAGACTGGATGGGGTTTCAAGCTACTTAAAACAAATCTATGATCTATGCTGTGAGACCGCAGTAGGTGTGTTAAAAAGTCAGCTGTACGCCGCAACGGTGCATCGCTGCCGCGCGACCACTACCAGTCGGGCGTGGGCTGAGTATACCGCGAGGACGCCCACCCCTACGCGGATTCGAACCGGTGACCTTATCGTTGCAAACCAGGCGTGCAGACCAGTCGGTCACCGGCCGACAGTGATGGGTATTGGAGAAGGAATTAGTCAAATAACCACAGATCAAAACCAGAAGTGTGATAAAATAAAACCTCTAGAAATAGACGAGAAGATGCCACTAGTGAATCCGATCACTCAAGGTTGCAGCCGAATTCGCAGATGGGTGACGTAGAATCAAATCAGCGGGGAGAAAAACTCGACACACACACACAGTTTGACAGTACTGCTACACATCAAACAAGCAGACAGTGAAATGCCATCGCGACGAGCAATTTGATGTATCACTACTCACCATGAAATCGATGCTGTAGTCATCTGCAGCCATCGTCTCGTGAGTGTAAAAGTAACCGACCAAGCTTTCAAAGCGAGCCGATTCGTGGACTTCACATTTGAAGTTGTCAAATGCCCGAATAACGCGTTCGTGGCCACCAAATATTAAGCAGACAGCTGCCAGTAATTCAAGCACAAGCGTTTTGGTCCTGGGAGAGAAAAGAGTGGTTCAAGTGTAGAGTACGGATAAAAATTGCGGGACTGATCCAAAAGTGGCTAAGTAGGCACTGTCAAGGTGAATGAAAAAATGGGGCTGGATTAAGATGAATTTATTTCGGTCATAGAAATATTAGCTATGTAAGTGAATAAAGAATATTGTAGCATTGATACAAGTCGATAGAATGGCTGGACAGTTGGAAAAGAACAAATGATACCAATACATTCAACGCGGCGAGACTGACTCAACTCATCTCAATGTGATGACCGGAGATGGATGCCCAAAATTTGAGAATGGGGTATTTGCTTCCCATTGTATACGTCACCCGGATTGACAGATTTAAAACGCACACTACGGCATAAGTTGAATGCCAACAGGAGATGTGCAGTTGAATATAATCAACAACAATAAAAAGTAAGTGCAGTTCAGCGGTATCGTTCGATATCACAATCAAAATCATAGTTTGCTGGTGGGCTCTGACTAAACTGTATGGTTCCTACGGTCCAGTGCAGGAATAGAAGAACCGCTGGAAATAAATCAACAGGAACTCTAACCAGGCACACTTACTGACCACCGTAATATGGTTTAACAAACAGCGAGAAGGATTCCACAAGAGATACGTTTCGGTAACAGTCAGGTAAAAAAGGAACTTTGCTATTTATAGCAACACACCGAAACACAACTGATCGCTTGAGTATGGTTACACATATCATTGCCTCCGTTGTATACATTAATAGTATAAAAAATCTGGTGGGAATTCACAAACTAGTTGAGCTAAATGGCGGAAGTGGGTAGCGGCGGCAATCAGAAACTGTGACTACCTAGCTCATTGAGGTAGCAGAAACGAAAAATTCCACGGGCTACGAATGTGTACGATATACGCAGAAGCTGAAAATGACCAAGACATGATCTGTTTCCGGTGTGTCGAAATGCAATGGACACAAATACAAACACCGCGTGATGAGTAGAACAGTCGAAAGGGCTTGAACTGTGAAGTCTGTACAGTGACAAGGCCTGTGAGGCACCTGCGGTACCGCTGGGAAGAACGAACGTCACACAAATGCATCACTAACAATTCCTAGTCATCCAGTTGGAGTATATCGCAATGTAAGCAAGAACTGTCGTAGGCGGGAGAAAACATTAAAAAATGTTTCTCGAGTGTGAAGAAGCGCTCTAAAACAGCAGCTACTGAGCAGGAATATTTGTTCACTAAGCGAGCACAGGCAAAAACATCCCACAAGTCACATGTGGTAGTTGAACGATAGAGTTGAGAGAGCACCTGAGTGGAGGATTGTACCGAGCCTCAGCTTTGAGCCACAATAGTGGCATCAGTGATCACCGAATTCACGAGTTCAAGCAATAAAATACAGGTACGCAATCTAGCGGATGCAAGTCATCAGGTTACCACACCTCCACTCTGAATAGCATACCTTCTATTCCAGAATTTAATGGCTCCCAATCCTCCTGGCTCTCATGACGAAAACTGTATTCACAATCTAATTGTGGTTCAATTTAGTTAAATAAGTATGATCCGGGGGCAGAGCCAGTCACCACAACTTGCGTCCATTCGATAACAATAAAGAAAAATGCCGAGAAAGATAACGCAGAACACAGAAGGACAACAAGGAAAAATGAATCAGAAAAAACCGGTGTAAAAAAGACCTATATGGAATATGATCAATTAGGGGTAGGAAACCGAATGCAGCAGCCCGCGAATACGTCATGTTCAACAATGTTTCCAATCACCGATGTGGCACATCCGGAGGTCCCCACCTTCGAAGATAATACAAGCAAACCATTCAGTAAAGTTCTTCATTCTGCGCTACGTCGTCGGTGGTTGCCTTGTGACTTCACCCAATTTGAGTTTCGTAAACAAGTAGGCTATGCCACCGCGAGGGCAAGACACATAAGATTGAATTGATATTGAGAACCTTTTCTCTACGAGAGTGAATACTTCGCTCGTTAGACACACGTTGGAATAGTATTCAAGGGTGTGCAGAAGCTCAAAAAAGCTAGACCGCATTGCAGTGGAACAAACACAGAGACAATTGCCGAAGCGTTCTAGGTGCTTATTCAAAACTGGAATATCCTGAAAGATAAGCTAAAGCTCCGGCACGACATACGGAGTCGTGCAGAGCTGTAGGATGGGACACATTTATGGAGGCATTATGCAAATGAGGAGGTAGGGTAGAATGCGAGTGATGAGCACAGTCAACTGAAAATGCCATATGGAGAGGATCCCAGAAATTAATAAGCGCATGAATACGACAAGCAAGTGGCGTGCTTGTTAGCTAGGACAGCTCTCATATGGTATGGTAAACAATTGAGTAAAAGCAATTCGTCCCTTCGCGTCAAAAGAAAAGCAAGCTGCAAACCCAAAGGCAAATAGTAATACCTACGGCCTGATAACTGGTACATCGTATGGGGTCGTCAGGCGATGGAAACGTATGCGCTGGAAGGCACTGGGAGGTCAGTGCAATCAGTTTATTGCTACGCAAGTGCAGCAACTGAATCTTGCTATATTATCCCAAATACTATAAAGAGGTTTCTGGACGGATGTGTACTCGAACAAAGTGATAGCACAACAAAAGGTATGGCTAATCTGACAACTACAAAGAAGTTTAAGCCGTGGCACAGGGTGCAGAAGTTCAGAAATCAGTCATGATAAAGTGATAGAATGCAAGTACACAAAATGGGATCCACTTAAAGGTATCGGCACACTGGAAGGACTCACTCGTGGCTAGGGTGTAATAAACAGAGTGTGATCACGTTGATGGCCCTTGGATGGTCGAACACCATGGAGCAGCCACGCTGGATGGGTACGAAGTGGAACAGATGGAGGAATGGACGTTAAATGAAAAAGAAAGTGAAAAAGGAACACAGAATCAGCAATCTCAGTAGAAGTGGGGGGTGGATGGAAACGGTGCGGAACCATTGTCTCGGCAGTGCCACTAAATGCTACAAACTGAATGACCTCAACCCACGACCATAGTGGTCAGCGGGTGGGAGCTATCCAAACACCAAGCAGAGTAGTAATGAATCACACAATACAATATAGATTAGAGTAACACCGAGCTAGATGAGAAAGTCGGGTTCCGCATGCAATGACGGGGCAGTCGGTTGCTGGAGCAAGATGAAAACAACCTATGTGTACTGGTAGACGATTGGGATGGAGAAAAATCAGAAAAAAGTGAGACACAACCATCACGAGCAGGTTGGCTTCAAAGTGGAACGGACAGACAGTTCGTGGGCTACACTGAGCGCCGATTGACTAAGCACGGGCAAACCAAGCACCGCTTGAACTTTATCGGTTGCGTCTGATATCTGAAAAGAACTAGAATTTACAACATGAATACGTTGCAAGCAACAATGGTGGTGTATCAGTCATGTGAATTAACACTTTGCTGCCGTACAACCAGAATGACCTAAGGAACGAGGAATGATAAGGAGAGAAGGGGACTTAGCGTAAAACCCGAATGCCCTAAGCAAACATTTAGGGTAGCGGCGCCTTCACCTGGCAAATAACACATCGTCACAAAAAGCTGGCTATAGAGAAAAGATAAGGCGATATCAGCGAGACAGCTTAGTCGCGTCTTTCAATGCCTAGCATTATAATCAGCCAATAGCCCGAGATAATTTTAAGCAATCAGTCCGACTATGATATGACAGCTGGTGGCGAATGCGAGTTATGTCATGTAAAGTCTGGAGCCAAATACAAGGCGGATCAAGTGGACTCCAGTCTGACAGGTGAGACGGACCAACGGCGCAGTGTCTAAAATCAGTGCTACTAAGAGACAGCACAGTCGCAACAGACACTCGCCATTGTCCGTCCGGTCGGAGTCAAGTCCATAATTATCACCTAGCTAAGCTTCTGAAGAGCCCAGACGACACACGCGCATACATATTCAGTGTAACAACGATATCTGCTCTTAGCAGTGCAAAGAATCTGGGGAGATGCGCTCAAAAGGAAAGCGAACTTTTGCGATGACATATTTATTTCTTATTGCGCAACATTTAAAACACTTTCCCCCTCAAAGTAGTCCTATCTACTGGCAATACACCGTCCCCAAAGGTGCTTCTATTATTGGAGCCTCCTGGAACGCAGTTTTTGGGATAGCATGCAGATTTCTTATCGCAGTGTCTTGAATATCCTCTATATTTTGGAAACGACGCACCTTCAAGGTGATTTTAAATTTGGAAAACAGAAAAAAGTCTGCTGGGACTAGGTCCGGAGAATACGGTGGATGAGACACAACGGGAGTGTGGCGTTTTGATAGATAGCTGCGGACAAGAGACGATGCGTGAGAAGAAGCACTGTCATGATGCAATATCCAAGTCTGGTTTTCCTACAGTTCAGACCTCTTCCTGCGCACAGCATCCCTTAAAGGAGATAGGATTCCCTGCTAGACTTCTTTGTTTAACAATTGACCAGGAGGTAAAAATTCCTGATGGACAATGCCTTTATAATCAGAAAACACAATAAATATCACCTTGAATTTTGACCGACTCATGCGTGCTTTTTTGGAGGAAGAGACCCTTTCCTCATCCACTGCGACGACTACACCTTCGTTTCAATATTGTAGCCATAAACCCACCTCTCAGCACCTGTTATGATGTCCTTAGAAAGTTTCCACTGTCATTGGCAGTGGCTGATCGTCAGCCAACAAACGAGGCACGAAATTAGCACTGACACGACGCATCACAAATTTGTCACTCAAAATTTGCTGGCATGATCCTACGCTTATGCCCACTTTATCAGTAACTTTTCTAAAAGTAAAACGACGATTTCCACGCATCACAGCACGAACTCTGTCGATATCGTTACCGTCTGTTGATGTGAAAGGTTATCTAGGCTTGGGGTCGTCAGCGACCGACATTCTGCCGTGTTCAAAACGCTTAAACTAGTAACAGTACTACGTGCGACTTCTACAGTCCTCCCCGTAGGCTTGGCAAAACAATTGAAATATCTCTGTAAAATGTTTGACAAGTTTGTAACAAAACTTCACACGCGCACACGTTCTTCAAGCTCGTTCACTGTCGCTTTGGCATTAATCCGACGAACAGTTTATGCACGTGCTCACTTCAGCAGCTGTAGTTCGCCAACCAACAGTAAGAGCGAAATGCAGCAAATGGCAGCCTGTTGTCTAAACGAGGCTCGACATGCTCTCAGTAGGTGTAGCGCGCTCCTTCTGCCGGTTGGCACGCTATTTGCAAAATTCGGTTTCTTTTTGAACACTCCTCATATTCGTCTTTGACAGCATCAGAACTGCGGTCGTTGGGGATATAATCGAAGCATACAAACAAATATGCAAGGCATAAGCAGTACGCAGGTACGCATTACAGATGCTGCGCTGCCGCGTAACCACCCCCAATCGCGCGCGGGTCAAGAATACTACTAGCGCCGCCCGGTCCATCAAGCGGGCTCCAACCCGCGGCCTCAGATTACAAGGCACGCCTGTGATATATAAGGCCAAGGGCCGGCAGAAAGAGTGTCTAGAACTACTTCGTGAATCAACCTTAGTTGATTGTAACTGGGTCTTGGAGTACCCGCCATGTGTCTGGATTGCGACACGCACGGCAGGTACTAAAGAACCTAATAATGAACTTTTTAATGCTGTGCCAAGCGCTGCTTTGGAGCTCTGGCACAGTGACCAAGACGAAAGCCGTCAAGCACTGTCTTGGGCTCAGCTCTCAACTCAAGCTACCTCTACCTGACGAGTCCAAATCAGGGCGAAACCGGTCGGTCGTGGAGTGCAGGGTTGGGCAAATGAACCTCTCTCCAAGCTCAGTTGATGTTGTCAAACGGACTGCACACGAAAGGATGCTCACGGGAATCCAATCAACCAACGATGATTTAACCTTGGAGCTGAGAATGATGCCCACACCAATCTGACCAGTGGTTGGTGTATAAGCGTCTCCGGATGCGTTCAAGCAATAGCTAGAGGACAATCCAGACGGTTAGTTTAAAGAAACACGCGTGGGTCATTGACTTTAGTTCCCTACATGTAACACACGTAAATACCCAGTGTGTCCGATGTATGTGCGAGTGCAGTCTGTTGACCAATTTGTTTTAGAGTGCGAATGTTGAACGCCTCCAGGGAAACTGGGAAGTGTGGCCTTATAAGGAGCTGTTGGAAATTGGTGTCCAGATAGTGGTGCGGAAAAATAGTTGTAGATGGTAGAACTGCAGTGGTATTGAGGTTGCTGTCAAGTAACCTGAAATTACAGAAGAAAGGCTATTAATGGGGATCGGGAGGGTGTAAAAGAAACAGGTAGTAAAGTAGGTAAAACATTTTCGCTTGTCCGCCCTGTTGTAGGTAGTAGAAGACAACCCATTTGTAGTTACAGCGGGAAGAACAGGCCGGGTTAGACCTGGTCGCGGCTGCAGCGATCAAGTCTTCAAACTCCCCCAGATCCTTGAGCTCCTCCAAGTGTACCCGAAACCAACGATTGTCCTGTTCCTGGATATCCGCGCTGCCTTCGATTCTGTCGACAGGTCTGCATTGTGGCACTGTTTGCGGAGAAATGATGTCCCCGGGAAGCTCGTTTCCGTACTATGTGCTATGTACAATCTGACCTCGAGCAGAGTTAGAGTTTATGGAAAGCTTTCGCCTTCCTATATCGTCAATAGTGGAGTTCAACAAAGATACCATATATTTACATTCCTTTACAATTTTGCCATTGAGGATGTCTTAAAGAATGCTCTGGGTACTTCGTTGAGCGCTGGCGTTGAGCTCCTCCCAGGTAGCTGAGTTATTGACCTGGACTACCTTGATGAAATCATCTTGCTGGGTGACCGTAAACAGGCCGTCCAACTTGCACTCAACAGTTTGGCGATTGAAGCGTCAAAGTATGGGTTGGATTTTTCCCCATTCAAGTGCAAAGTTCTTTTCTAAGACTTTCAGATGACTGTACTTGCACTCACTCTTGGTGGTGAGACATTGGAGGTTACGGGGAGTTTTGCCTACCTGGGAAGTTGCAGCACAGCCGGTGGAGCTGTTGCAAACGGGATTTCGATGCGGATCTCAAGAGCACGCCTCGCTATCTCCAAGCTAAGGCCTTTGTGGCGCCGCCATGACATCCATCTATCCATCAAAGGCCGGGTTTATTGTGCGATTGTCTGCGTTGTACTGTTGTACGATTGCGAGACTTGGCTTGTTCGTACCGTTGACCCGCTCCTTCTCTCTGTCTCTGAGCACCGTTGCTCGCGATCCATTGCCCGTGTGTGGTGGCTGTACCAAGTAACTAATGTGAAAGACAGCGTGTCCGTGGTGCAGGCAGCCACACGCTTAAGGAGCTCGTCCCCCTGCGTCACCTGCGGTGGCTTGGACACATACAGCGCATGCCCGCTCATCGTCTTCCGTGTAGGGTGTTGTTCGCGATTGCTGGAGAGGACTGGAGGAATCGGCGCGGTAGACAATCTACAATATAGAGAAGCCACATGAAAAGGCTGACGAAACAGTTGGCCTCGGTCGGTTGTTCTCGACTCCCTGGTTGGGATTTCAGTGATATAGGGTGTCGCTGGTTGGAGACCCGAGAAGTCATGGCTCAGGATTGACATCAATGGCGGATGTGTATCTCTGCGTGTCGCGGTAATTTCCCTTCCCCAATAAAACAGACAATATGAAACTCAAAAACGGAGTGGAATAAAGAAAAAAATGCAGCGTGTTTTTTTCTTATTCCTATCCTGTTTTCCTATTCTGACATGATTCTGATGGCACAATATCTGTACGACAGAATGTGATATATATATATATATATATATATATATATGTATATATATTATATATATATATATATATATATATATATATATATATATATCAAGCTGCGCGACGGCTGATTCAGGACGTAGTTCATGTTTGTGGAAATAGCCATGGTTGTGCATAGGGTTAGATACAGCCAGAGCATCTCAGTCTTTGCATCAGCAAGCAGAGCGTTAAACCTCAAGCACTTGTTGAAGTCATTAAACGTTTTGGGTTGCTTGCAATTTTGCAGTTCATAAATTATCCACATTTGAGTGTTATATCAGTTCACCTGCACCTGTGGTGCTAGGTACCTTGGACATTGTCCCGCGTCACTTCGAAAAGGCACAGTAAAATCCATCAAAAGTTTCGTTTTACAACACTTGGTTGACACTGGACATCAAGTCCAGATGAACCAACCTTTAAAAGTCGTTTATATAACTCAATGGGCCGATTAGGTATGCAAGCAGTCGCACAATGTTAACGTCCAGTCGCTTGTATGATGCAAACCCCCAGTCGAGTGGTCAGCAAGTCGTAAAGGCTCGCAACAATAATGAGTTGGAAGTAATCGCTGAGCTGTCGGCCGGTGGCCGAGTGGTCTGAGCGCCTGGTTTGGAACCATAACGTCACCGGTTCGAATCCGTGCAGGAGTGGGCGTCCTCGCGGTTTATTCAGCTCACGCGCGACTGGTGGTGGTCGCGTAGCAGCGAACCGTCGTTACGGCATGCAGCGGGCGATTTATTATTTTTCCGTTGAACTCTGGTCTTGTGACCGGTCCGCAAAACACTCGTCAGCTCCGAGTCGGCAGCGCATGGAGACAAATCACGTATTGATTGGTCGATAATAAAGGGGACGCGCAAATGAATGCAGTTTAGCACCGGATACAAATTCGATGGTGCGTTAATATGCGCAGTGATACAGATGAGGTTTGAAAGTCGTTTGAGAGGGCGATCAGTGTGGACAAAAGCCGAATGATGAGGCAAAATGTGCCACTTTTATTTTAAATGATGCTATAATAAGTGTCAGTGACCCACTGAATGGGTGCTAGATATCTGAGTTTACTGATATGGGGAAGCAAAACACTGGACAAAGTTGTGGCATTCTACAAAGTCGTTTGAACCCACTGACGTCCGATGGAGAAATTAGGATGACTGGATAAATGAATTTGGCGAAATTCGCACCGCTTAAGTACGTGCAAGCACAAGATCAGTGAAGAATCGCTCAGGTTTGAAACCGATCATTGCGGAGGGTTCCAGAAAGCATCCTTGCTTATGTGCAAAACCGACAGTCGCAAACATTGCAGTGAGTCGACAGACGGTGGAAAAACAATTGGTAACCTCGGTAATTTGGGGTTGATCAGCTTCAGAGAGAACCTGACCGGCCACAACCAGCACCATTTATAGCCACTGCAGTTAACACGTCCCAAGGTCAATCACGTGAGTTCCTCTTTTAATCACAAGCGGTGAAAGTGGGAGTTAAAGAGTAAAAATCCGGATGCTCAGCAGGAAAAGGTGGAGTGTCACAAGTACTTTTTAACTAGAGGTCAACAGGTTTAGCGAGTTACTGTTCTGTTATAGAGCAACTGGGAAGTATAGAACGGCCCCCATTGAATGAGGTCACGTCATCAATACAATGACGGTAAGAAATTACAATGCGTCAATCACAGAGATAGGATTGAACTCAGCCAGCTTGGACATCATTTCGCAAGCTAAAGGTTGCACGAAAAAGCATCACAAAGAACGAGTTAAAATATCGACTGCATTGAACAAAGCTTCATCTCGTGCCAACAGCCAGAGAGCTGGTAAACAAAGACGTACCGCAACAGCCGCACTTGTATATGCCATTGGTGTTCGAATTCGTGGATCGATTTGCACCTCCGAATTAGCTGAATAGAAATACAGCTCGGGAAGCAAAGAAATATTCGTAAGGCATTGTTATGCGTTCACGCCCCGAACAGGGGCGGCAGATTGCATGACCTATACCTAACTGTTAGTGCACAGAGTGCCCCTCTCACCATTGCTACTTCGATAGGTGCAAGGATGGAAATTGCCCAAGAAGGCTCCTGCAAAAAACGCCTGAAGTCTCTCACTGGCAAAAGAATCACAACCGTAAAGGTTGCGGTGGAGTTAATAAGATTCGTGGCTAATAATAATAATAATAGCACCAGCAGTATGCCGGTACGCTTTACCGACGCTTCATTGCCGCAAAACCACCACTAGTCGCACAGGGGTCAACGATGTTACGATGTAGCCAAGTCCTCTACGCAGGTTCGAATATACGCGACCTCGACGTTGGAAGGCAGGCGCTTGATCCTTTCGCCAGATTCGCGATTGCTTTAATTCTAAACCAGCTCATGTCGATAATCAGCTCCATCGTTTCCAGGACTACTCACTACATACAAACTGGCCATCGAAGAGTGGAGCTGTGTGCTGGGAACGATCAGACCCTCATAAACATCAATGACTGAACGTTATGGTTTCAGTCAAGTCAGTTCTCTTGTAGGATTCCAAATACAGAGGAAAAAACCCAGCTAGTGCAACAAAGACAGAAGTATATCTCATCCAAGTTAGCTAGAGTGATGTTGGTTAGCTTGTGTAGGAGGTCGGCGAACTCGTCCGGTTCCGGGCTAAATAGCAACCGACATACCTGGTTGTTTAGGAGGGCACGAAAACACTTGACAGCTTGATGCAAGCTGCTCCGCATCGAGTCCGACAGATGTGTCAGCCTCAGTGTACGGCTACTGCGATGCCGGTCAGCTGATGTTTCCTCCTTTCGTCTCAGACACCACAAATGTCGCAGATTGATAGATTTTCTATTGTCATGGACTAGGCGTTCGAGTTGTTCCTCGGAATCCAAACGGTTAAGAGAAGCCAACGGTCCACTATCCAGCGAATCAGAGGCGGAAGAGGAATCTGATCTGAAATAAAAAATATGAACATCTTCAAATAGAGGCAAGCCTACAACACATGCAAGAGTGGGAAACCGAATCCGGGCAACAGAAGCTGCAAGTCAAATGCATAAGGTAATAAACCACAGATCTCGTTGAGTATCTCCAAAGAAGGTTACCAATCTCTTGAAGCGCTGACCGCATTCATTGGAGACTTCCTTAGACCCCCGCGGCAGATGAGTTGAAAGTAGAATGGATACACATCGTACTGACAAAACACTGCTGATTTGCAGAATGGAACAGAAGGAAAGGGAGCGAATTAATGGTTGATGGGATTTGGTTGTAGGGACTCTCGTCAACAAAGTCGGCAAGTGAGTTGAAGTGTTCTATGTTCACTGAGGTTGGCAATTTGGTTGCAGACGGTTCGTCACCAATCGGGGTGATATCAACAAATGTAACAAATGCATGTTACATTCGGTTAAGAAACTGGGATCTAAGTGCTAAAATGTTGCATCGACTCGGTATGGAAGTAAAAAACTTGACGAAAGTATGTGAAAAGATAGTGCTATGAAGTTCATATATGGAGAGTTATGATATTATTATAATCGGACCAGAAATCGATAGACCGTTAGCATAGAAAAAATAATCGACGGTGGGTAGGCTCCAACATACCTCATCAACATGTGAATAACCTTTGAGACGTAGTTAACCAGCACATCCAAGCCATCTTGATCCAAGAAATCGTAGACCCAACTAGAAAGCGATTACAGTAGGTGAAGATTGCATACTCGACATTGTTAGTCCTGAGAGATATTTCTGTAGCTCGGAGGAGCTCGCTGGCCTGCTGACCATCACCTCGACGTGAGCTCTGCAGACAAACATGTTTAGTAAATGGGCTATGAAACGCACTCTGGACAAGGTGGAGCGATCCGTTCTCAGACCCTTAATAAGGGTCACATAATGGAATGCTGAACACTTGGCATTTTTGGTGGCCTAAAGGTGAGTAACACAAGTATGGCAATGGCCGCTGTTACATAGCTCTCCAGTAAATGTCGCTTTTGATCGGGCGGTAACTGTTCGATTTCCTTGGCTTTATCAGGACCCACGTCTAATGACTGAATTAGATTTGCCCAAGTCTGCCGATACTCCGCACTTTCTTCGTCATCCATTTAATTAACCCTATAATAAATAAAGGATAAAAATCATCACCATCATCATTAACAGCAGCACATCAGCCATTTGAACCGATACTGCGCTGACATAGAACCATGGTAAACTACGGAAGAAGAATAAGCGGGAGAGAGGGGAACTAATCGGAAAGCCTCGATGCCCTAAGCAAACATTTAGGGTCAAGGCGCTTAAACCTTATCAACAACATGCCGTCACAAACAGCTGGCTATCGTAAGAAAATAAGATGGATTCAGCGAGACAGCTTCCTTGGGCCTTTCAATGCCCTGCGCCATAACTAGCCATTACTGCGCAGATAATTCACCACCAAACACACTTCAAACAGGCCGTCCGACTAGGAGACGGCAGCGGACACACCACTGGTGCCGACTGCGACCCATGTCCTGTAAAGTCTCGAGCCAAGCAGAAGGCCAGTCACTTGGACTCCAGCCTGAAAGGCGAGGCGAACCGACAGCACCGAGTATGGACGTCAGTGTCTTCGTTTCCCGCTGCCGAGTCAACTTCTGTCCACGTCGAGTCTTGCGCCACCCAACGTCTGGCAAACAAAACAGGACCCTCTTCGGTAAGCGGAGACCGAGCATACGTAGTACGTGCCCCAGCCAAGGCAACTTATTCAGTGCTATCTGTTGTTCTAGGGAGCTAGCATGATTATCATCACCTAGTACTCACCTACGCACATCATCGTTGCGGACACTGTAACTAAAAGCAGTGCTATTAAGAAACAGTCGGTGTTCCGCATACAGCTGTAACAGACGCTCGCCGTTGTCCGTCCGTTCGGAGTTGTACCCATAAGTACCATCTAGCTGAGTTTCTGACGAGCCCAGGCGACTTACTAGTAGCATTGCAAAGCAGTGCGTTCAGTACGTAGTAGGTGTGCTTAGTAGCATCAGAACTGAAGTCGATGGGGTCATAAGCGGAAAGCACCAATAAACAGTGTCTATTATTACTTCGTGAACCAACCTTAGTTGATGTCATCAGACGGGATGCACACAAACGGCTGCTCACGGGAATCCAATCAACTAACGATGAAGCAGCCTTGGAGCTGAGAACGATGCCACTCCAACTTGACCAGTGATTGCCGCAGCAGCGCCTCCGGATGCGTGCAACCAATAGTGAGAGGACAAGCAGGGTGCAGTTAGTTTAACAACTCCGTGAGTATCATTGATACTAGGTTCGGATACGCAAAGCACGTCAATACCCAGGGTGTCCGACTTGCTTGCGAGTGCAGCCAGTTGAGTTGTTTATCTTAAAGTGCGAACGTTGGACGCCACCAGGGAAAAGGGACAATGTAGTTTTATAAAGCGTTGTTGGTGATTGGCGTCCAGTGGGTGGTGCGGGAAGGTAACTGCAGATGGTGACTCCAGTGGCATCGCAGTTGATGTCAATTAAGCTGAGAATTATAAAAGGAAAGTTAGTAATGCGATTTAGGAGAGGAGTAAGAGAAACAGGTGGAAAAGTGATATCAGAAGTAGCATCTTTCATTTATTCGTCCTAGTGTATGCAGCAGACGACCCTTGGTAACCCATGCGACGGCCGACACAGGATGCGGTTGAAGTTTGAAGAAATAGCCATGGTTGTATGTAGGCTGAGATACTGACAAGGCGCCCAGATCTAGATAGGAGGAGGATTGGGGCCTTTAACCAAAGCCTGTCCGCAAGGCGGAGGGGAGGTGGAAATGAGTTAGTTTTACAGAAATGGACGCCATCCCATCTCAAAACCCGAATCTAGGAGATCAGGAGACTGAGTTTGTCTGACATCTAACTATTGACCAACCCGATAGGAGTAGATCTCAAGGCACCCGGAGGCACCATCCAGTATAGCTCAATGGGTTGGAGGTACACAAACCGCCGCGTCACGTTAAGATCCAGTCTCATGGCGACGGGCCAGCTACTAATAACATCTGACAAATATACGACCAGTGATAGTAAGCTGTGTTCGGTGAGTGTTCACACAATCTGCATGCCAGCGCACTTTGGTATGCATTCAGAACATCTGGCCTCATCAGTTGCCAAGTATCTATGCTCTCAGCGTCGTTGCGGACGTCCGCCCGGACGCACCCGCAGGTCGGCACATACAAAAGCGTGATCGGTCCACGCTCGTGTTGCAAAGCGAGCGACAGGTTTGGACACTGCTTCTTCAGTGGTAGCTGATAGCATCATCAGTGTACACGTTAGATGCAAGTGGAAAACACCTCAACTGCCGCAGGTAGCTAATAGCGATGTGGTCGATTTACCTCCATGGCTGGTGAGCGCCATGTCTCCCTCCAGCGGGTGCTGTACCGGAAGTTATTTCCTGCGAGAAATAGACGAGGATCTCTGCACAGATGCAGCAACCATCATCATTATACACGTTAGCTAGTGATGGAAAACATCCCATCAATTGTGTCGTTATGCATTTTAAAGAAATGCTACAGAGACGCGCCAGCTGAACCACCAGTAACGTATTGGCATCGTTCCTGAGAGCTAGCAGCCGGCTAGTGTGCCGCAAAAAAGTTGTGTTATGTGTAAAAAAATGAGATCGTGGTTAGAGGAGAAAAAGGGGAAGCAACCGCTCACCGTCATGATCGCAGGATCCTACATCACACTGGTTGCCCAGATGCGGCTCCTCAGTGGAACGTTTTCTAACTTGGGTGTTCAGGCTAACAGCCAGACTACAGTATTCAAATCTCTGCTGTGACATAGGTGCTTGTTCATTTGGTGATATACGTCCTCTATCAATGAGTCGGTGACAAAGTTTGTAGGGGTGAAGACAGCAATGAAAAACAGGCACCGTTTGTCTACGTGCGACTTCGAAGATTTGAACGAACCGACCAATGGGACGGCGCACATCGGCTTTTGGTTGGGATCTGATCAATCAACCGAAATCCTCCACTTCAGTGACAGTCCCAGTGACTGCATTGTCAGAGGCTGACTTCAAAGTCAACCGACGCCAGTAGTGAGATTGCGCATCGCAATCCAAGACGCATGGCGGGTGCTCCAAATACCCGAAAATCTACTTCTAACCGCTGTGTCAAACACTGCTCACGGAGCTGAATGGCCTAGTGATCATGGCGATAGCCGCCAAGCACTATGCGCCGAGTTCCACTCCCAGCTCGGCTATCTCTACATGATGAGCCTAAACAAAGACGAAACCGTCGGTCGTGGAGTGCAGGGATGGGAGAGAGCGACACCGAAACCCTCCATATCGGTTGATTTGTTTAACACCCATAGTGTGTTAAGTCATGGAGCCTTGCATCGCCACCTTGATAATGTGAATGTCATCTCTCCCGTTCAGCATGACTTCCGGAGTGCACGCTCGTTTGCCCCCAAACTGCCTGTGGCCAGAGAAAAATTGGCTAAATTGTTAAATGCTGGCAATCGCCTGGAGGTCGTCTTTGTCAACTTCAGGAAAGAATTTGATAGTCGCACACGAACGGCTTCTTTGTGAAGTTCGGGGAATTGGCGTTTCTGGTGAGATTCTATCTTGGATTGCGGACTTTTTGAATGGTCGTGTTATGCAAGTGAAGGCAAATGAAACAGACGCCGAACCCAACATTGGACTTGAAGAATTCGCTGGGTGATTGGTTTGATGCAAACAACCTCTATTGACCTCGGTACACTTGAGGTGGACCTCGGTCATTCCGATCACAAGGACCGTATGTGAAATGTAAATGTATTGGTGTTGATCATCCCAACACAGGCACCCCACGACTGCGGTTTTGTCCTGGTTTGGACACATCAGGTGGAGATAGCCTGAGCCCTGGTGGAAATCAGAGGCTAGTGGTTCAGGGCTAACGCCATAAACACTATGCTACTGGGATCCGCGAGCAACGCTTGGTACAGCGGAAACGAATTCAAAGTTGGACTTGGAGAATCCGCTGTGTGGTTGGGTTGCTACAATCAATCTCTACTGAGACCTCGGTTCACTTGATGTGTACCTCGGTCATGCCGATCACAAGGACCGTATGTGAAACGGAAAGATTTTGGTGTTGCTCATCCCAACATAGGCACCTCTGTACTTTGAATCAGTCCTCGAATATCGTTTAATGACTGCGATGACATTATTGAACGTGATTAAGGCCCCATGCGGAGTGTAACGTGCAATTCTCCCAGTAAAAAGCCGTCAGCTGCACGCAGTAACGGCGCTTCGTTGCCTTGCGACTACCCCGAGTCGCGCGTGGGCTGAAAGCCGCGAGGACGCACACCCCTAAGCGGATTCGAAAAAGTGAGTTTATTCGGAATACTTGTAGCTCGGGTTCGTAATTAACGTTTTGATTAGTTCTCCGAGCTGAGTAATTACTCAGCTCGGAGAACTAATCAAAACGTTAAGTGAGTTTATGATTGCAAGCCAGGCGAGGAGACGATTCGGCCACCGGCCGACAACGCTTCCAGTGGGATCAGACAAAACCCAAAGGCTCAATGAGAACGAGAGACGCACGTCACAAGCGTGTAGCGACTAGGGATTATGGATCCTCAGTGTCCGCCACAATAAGCCAATGGAATTGAAAAGCAAAGTAAATACTTCTTAAGTGGTTGGATGGCATTACGATAACTACCCAGTAAGAGACCCAGAAAAGTGAAGGAGTTGGCCCAACGTTGGATACGTTAAAACACGCTAGAGGAGTGCGCAATAAAAAAGGAAAAGTCAAATAATAACAAGATAATAATAGAAAGGAACACGCGATAAAGCAACGAGATCGACACCCTCCGAGACACAGAACGTCAAGGAGGTCCGAGTTATGTAGCAAAATTGGGCAGTCGGTTCCATCGCTTCCCGATCATTGCTGAGACGCTCGCGTCATTGCGCAACGGAAACTCCGCAGAGGGCCGTCCCACTCGTAGCGGAATAGTTGAGAATCAAGTAGTCGTCTGAAAGAATCCTCCATCTGCGCATCACCGACGGGCTCCGGCAACCGGTTCCAGTCATACACAACGCGAGTGGATAGAGGAAGAATGGACCACACTTCGAGCCTCCTTGGTTTGAATAATTTCCATCGGTGGCCTCTGATCGAACTACCAACGTTGAGATGGAAGGAATCTTGCAACTATCTCCCCAACTCTCCCCCGAGAATACGTCGGGCGAAAACCAAATCTCCGCGGCGAAGACGGTAATCCAGAGAAAACAGATACAAATGTCGAAGCCGAAGGGAAAAGAACAGGTCACCTAACTCAGAGACGAACTTCCATCTGCGCCATTGGACCTGTTCAATCATGTCACGCTCAAATTTGGTAAGCGAGCACGCAGCAGGAAAGTAGTATTCTAGAATCGGGCGCACATGCGAGGTGAACGGGAGTCTAAAGAGCTCCCGTGTCAGGCAGCAGAAAGCTCTTCGGATGGGGTGAAACGTTCTGCAAGCAGCGGCAACCCTGTTCATAGTGTTCTATATATATATATATATATATATATATATATATATATATATATATATATATATATATATTTTTGCAAAAGTCTGCTAACAGACATAATGCCATCAGAAACCATGGGATTCAACGAAGGTACAGAAACAGCAAAATAAAACAACACAACAATGTCCATGGTTTCCTCAGAGGGCGAGATACTACCCGGTTGCCCAAGCCGAAGTAGGGTGTTGACTTAGGGGACACCACCCCGAGCCTTTGGCTGAATAGCCTGCCCGCAAGGCAGCGGAGCGAATTCAGGGAATCGCGCCCATTGGGAGCCGGTGACTGATTGCTCAGTTCATATGCTTTTCGTTTGTTCCTTTGTCAAACAGGGGCCCAATGCTCCCCAGAAGTACAGCATAAGGTTGCTGGAATACAATGCTTCGCCAGGATGAAGCAAGGGGCAGTGACTTTATTTAGTGGCGAGTCACGTCCGCCACGTCACAGTGTTGTTAAACGGACATATGTGGCTTTTTATAGGGAGAACGCTTGCCAGGCGAAAACCCACCACGTCCTGGAACACTGCCGCCGAACCATTTGCTGGAACGGGAAAATCCCGAACCACCCAGCGGCACCACGAGGAGGTTGTTCGGCAAGCCAGCCTAAGCGGTTCATAAGTCTGGAGACATAATTAAGTGACATTTTTGAGCAAGTAATCACCTATGTGGTAAGCGCCGAATGGTTCAGAAGCGCCAATAGGCAGAACGGAACACTTGTCTTGATTAATAGGCAAACGACACTGAATCGACCAATTGTGCAAGATATCGAGGGTCTCTTGTAGCCGAACAGTATCCTCTGGAGGGAATATTCCCGTCCATATCTTCAGATCATCCGCATAAATCAAACAATCCGATTGAACCTCAGACGGTAGATTGATAATGAAGATGTTGAAGAGTTCGGGGCCAAGGATGAAGACTTGTGCGACCCCATTGGTCATGTGTAAGGAGCGTAAAACGTTCAGTTCACTTTCACCAGCATGGAGCGATTGTTCAGGAAATCAAAAAGCCAGAAAAGAAGGTTCCCAGCTCAGTCGACTCCTCGGAGTTTGAAG